TATTTTCAGAATATTTGAACCCTATTACTTGATTTTTAAAGTTAAAAAAAATATCCTTTTTAGTAAAGTTAGAGACAAAATATTTTGCAAACTGCTTGTCGTAGAGCATTTTAACCAAAGCATCCCGTTGAGTACTTAATTTTTTTGTCTAGAAAACTATATTTTGAATTTTTTTTTTGAATTTTTTTTTTTTGAATTTTTATAGTTCAAAAGAAAGGAAAGTTAGACGCAAAATATCTGGAAAACTACTTGTAGAGCATTTTAACCAAAAGTTTAGCCCTTGATTTTTCGTCTAGCAAACTATATTTTGAAAATTCTTCTACCTGCTATTTTTTCATGTTTACTATTCAAAAAAATACTCCTTTTTTAAGAAAGTTAGATGCAAAATGTTTCGAAAACTACGTGTCGTAGAGCATTTTAACTACATCTTGTCCAGCTCTTAGTTTTAGAAAACTGTATTTTGAAAATATTTGAAACCCTTTTAGCAAATATTATGTAAACTACTTATCCTGGAGCATTTTAAGCAAATGCATCCTGTTCAGCGCTTAATTTTACGTCTAGAAAACTGTATTTTCAGAATTTTTGAAACCTATTACTTCATTTTTACAGTTAAAAAAATTTCCTTTTTAGGAAAGTTATAGAGGTAAAATATTTTGTAAACTGCTTGTCGTAGAGCATTTTAACCAAAGCATCCCATTCAGCACTTAATTTTTTGTATAGAAAACTATATTTTAAAACCTATTTTTTATTTTTATCGTTCAAAAGAAACCTTTTTTTAGAAAAGTAGACGCTCAATATCTGGAAAATTACTTGTAAAGCATTTTGACCAAAAGCATCCTATTGAGGGTTGAAAATTTCTGAAAAGTATCTTTTTATTTTAACGGTTAAAAAAAACTCTTTTTTAAGAAAGTTTTACGCAAAATATCTCGAACACTACTTGTAATAGAGCATTTTAATCAAAAGTAGATACTTTTGAGCTATAGATTTAGCTCTTGATTTTTCGTCTGGAAAACTATACATATTTTGAAAATTCTTCTACCTGCTATTTTTTCATATTTACTATTTAAAAAATGCACAATGTTTAGAAAACTGCTCGTCGTAGAGCATTTTAACCAAAAGCATCTTGTTGAGCACTTAATTTTACGTCTTGAAAATTGTATTTTGACAATTTTAAAAACAATTTTTTTTATTTTTACAGTTCAAAAAAAACCTCTTTTTTAGGGAAAGTTTAATAGAAAAAATCTCGAAAACTATTTATCGTAGAGCATTTAACCAACAGCATCCCGTTCAACGCTTAATTTTGTCTAAAAAACTATATTTTGAAAATTTTCAATTTCACACTTTAAAAAAAAATATTTTTTAGAAAAGTTAAACGCAAAATAATAAATATTTTACGTAACATTCACTACTAAGTACCAATTTGCAATTACAAAACTGATTATAATGGTTATAATATTTGTAATCATTCGAACCTTCAATACACTTTTATTTCATTGCAGTTCATGATTTTTCGACGAGAAAATTGCCTTTTACCTACTGGTCAACGATATTTTCAAATTTTCCCTCATTATCCTTGTAATTAAATGAAATCGCAAGGATGTAAGAAATAAAACTGCTTGTAATGAATATAAAATCACGTGCAACAAGAAATGGTATCTTATTTACTAGTATTACTAGTATTAAAATACCATTGCATATCACCTATTACAGTTAAGAATGTTGCTAATTAATAACACTAGTAAAAAATTATGTAAACAAATACCGTTTTATGTTATATAATAATGCAATTGCAAATGTTGGTACAAGCACGTCGGTGACTTATTTCTCACTTTTCTTTACAAATCACTTGATTAACTATTTGACAAGGAAATCAAAAATCAATTTGATTTTTTTTGTGTATGTTTGCACTCAATAAAACAAGATTTAAAATCATATTAATAATTACTACTCTAGCTCTGATAGTCATAAATGCCAATAATTTAAGGAATAAATTACTAACCCAACCAGTTTTCTAACAAATCAAATTCATAAAGAGATTAATAATTATATTGTCATTTTGGAATTTATTACAACGAATTATTGTTTTGTTTAGTAGACTTGTTTTCGAATTTTTAGTACTAAAAGTTGCTTTAATAATTACTGACCTTTAACTCTGATTGGATCTATCCTCCTATGTAATAATGTGTAATTTATAATATGTAAAAAACTGAAAAATGTCAATGTCTGACTACTTGTTAAAAGCTCCAAAATTTGGTCATAATTGTTATAAAACAATTAGTGTTAAAAGTCAAGACCGAATTAGCAAATCCGGAAATTGTTCTTAATTGTGGTGTTCAATTATGAAAAGTAAGAAATGTGAAGGCAATCCGGTGTCTTCTTGGAAATGGCAAAATTATTTCCAACCAGAGCAAATTTTCAGTTTTTGCATAACAAATTTTAACAAAACTTGGTCATAAATCATATTTTTTTCAAATTATCCGACCTTCGCATTTTGAATTTTTTTTGAGTAGATTTTTCAGTTGTGATGCAATCTTGCACCTAGTTAAGGAGATTTTATAGGGTCGTCAGCTCTTTAATTTATCTCAATTACCCCACTTTTATAGGGTCAGCAGTTTACGAAGGGTCGTTGATCGAAACTCGAAATTTATTCAGTTTTTCACCTAAAATATTTCAAATTCTCGAGGATAGATAGGTGCTATATTTGGTCAGCAATTTCGCAAATATTTATTCCATTAACCTTAATACATATATACCAGATTTCGATCAAAATTCAATAGCAGGATATCCAAAACTTCGATGAAATTTTATTATTTCCAGATAACATTGTTGCATTGTCTATGAAAACCACAACTCGCTAATGAAATAATTCAATTATATAATAATTGACGCTAATCTAATTTGATTAAGCAATGATTTATTAATTACCTAATTATAATCAAAAAATAAAACTATTCGAACGTGTAATTACGGCGGTATTTGCTCAAGACTTTCGATTTCGGCCATAAAACTATTTAAAGAAATGTTTCAGAAAAACTGTTACCCGCCACTGGGCTGAATTTGAATTTTTAATTGTTACCATGACGATTTTTATTTTTGTGACACTGTCACCACAGTTACATACGGATTTCAGTGCGTTTCTATAGCAACCATCCAAATCAACTCACATAAGTGACTCGTCAAGAGTAAAAATGGGTTTTCAAATAAACAATTTTAATTTTAATTTGCAATTATAAAAAAAATTTTTTTGTATGATATAACACTACTGATTATAATAGTGTAATTAATATACCTAATTCGATTTTTATTGCAGTTTAATTAACAGGGCAATAAAGTCGAGTGAAATGTGGAGTAAAATAATTTTTTGCATAGACAAAATGACCGTTAAACTTGACGATTAGTGGGCATTGGCTTTTGCAACCGAATAAATAAATTCAAACGACTTTTACGCGATATTGGGGTCAAGTTGGGAAAATGGAAAGTGAAGTTTATCCGGAAGTTGAGAGTCTGTAGAAATTACTTGCATTGAGCCGAGAGCAACAATTAACATTACTATCAAGTAATTAAAAATTATTTTTAAAATCGGAATTTGTAAATGTGGGTCAGGTGGTAGGTAGGTATGCAAAAATTCCAAAAATTGGTCCATTGCATAAGAAATTAGTCTCAAAAACATCTGCATTATGCGAGAATTATGCAAAACTGGGATGTGTTAAAAATTTAAGATTTAAAAGGTCAGATTTTCGTGATTTTTTCTAGTGGAAAGTGAAATAAAAATCATTGATCGTGAAATAAGCTATAATTTTTGACTTTTCTTTTTAATAACTTATTTATAAAAACTGTTGACATAGGTTTTAAAAATAGATTCAAATTACTGTTTAAACTTCAAATTTTATGGAAATTGTATTCAAACAACATAAATTTGTTTGGAAAGTAAATAACATTCCAATCTGAGGATGGATAAATCTTTGAAAATTTTAGTACCTACTTAATTTTTGAAACCTTAAATTAGGGAATTTTAGTATTTAAATATAATTCAAGTTATTCACCTTTTAGTACATTCAACCCTAATTGATTAAAAAATTCAATAACATTTGGTTTTTTCACGAAAACGAGTTTCAGACATAATAAAACCATTAAAAAAGATAAAAATCTGTGGTAATTTACGAGAATATTATTTGAATTAAACCGAGAATGAAACAATTTAATTCAAAAAAAATATCATTTTTCGAATGTGTTTTTTTGGGAGTGTTTTATTTTTATACAAGGTGTCCGGAAAAAACGTTGAAAAATTTTGGGGGGTGGTTCAGTAGGTCAAAATAAGAAAAAAAGTTCTTATAGACTTATTTCGCAAATGTTTCCTAAACTCAAAAAAGTTCTTCCAAAGCAAAATTTTACGCCTTCTGTAGCTCTCTCAAAAGTATTTTTTCTTACCTTGACCTAGGAAATATACCTCCCAAAATCTTTCAAGGTTATTTCTGGACACCCTGTATAAAAGCTTCAGAATTTTATAGATTATTCAGCAGACATTGACACCGACTCAGATACATAAAAGCACTTTTTTCATATTGAGTTTTCGGTGAAACATCCAGTTTTTCGAGAAATGTGAGATCAATGACCAAATATTTTTATAATTTAATTGGAATATCAAAAAGTGGAAACTTTTGAAAAAATATCCGATTTTTATTAGTAATTTCTAATCCGTCTGGTATTTCGACGAGTACATACAGACATTAGAAAGTTACATAACAAGAAGAAGAAATTTCACTTTCTTGCTTTGACTGACATCAAAAAATAATTGAATTTTTCAAATGACGAACTTAATACGCAAACCGAACCACTTCTTGAAATGGAAATTGTTGTGCTGAAGGACAACATGCTGTTTGACCATTTCAGATCGCCAAACTTGCAAATCAAAAAAAGGTAGAGAGAGAATAAATTAAAATTGAAACTTAAAAAAATACAAAAATGTGGGCTTGTTATTAAATAATTGAACAAAAACTTACCATTTCTGAAATTGTTTCCGGAGTTGCACTGCATAGCAAGCACCAAAACGCAAATCGCGATTATTTGCGGTCGCATTTTGTCGCATTTATTTGCGGAAGATGGTCACAACACAAACGAAACGTTGCACAAACTGTCCGACAACTCGATGGCACCTGTACCACAGACAGTGCGAAAGTGTTAAGGCTTGAAAGTGGAATACGAGAGTATTTTAGGTTTAGGTCTTGGTGCAGCTTTCATTTTCAAGCAACATCCTTGATATAGAAGCACTATTTTTTATTTTTTCAAAAAATAATTCTTTCAATAGAAATTCTGAAGAAATACAAAGTGTAATCTCGACTTAATTTCTTAATTTTATTTATTTCATAAAGTAATAATCAAATTACTTTGAATGTGAAAAGTTGGGAAGTATGAGATTTCAAGTTCCTTAAACAATTAATATGTAAATGACATTTCAGACGGTTGGGAAATGACCACTTCCCAACTCGAAAACTAATAACAAAGTGACCATTTCTCAACTTGAACTGTCACATGTCATATTTTATCAAATTTAATGAACTCTTTATTGGCTTTCTGTTCTTTGAGTTTTTGATTACATTTATCACTTTTTTTTAATAATAATTCTAAAACTTTTTTAATCTCCCCTAATATTTTTTTTTAAATTGCAATTGCAATGTTATAAATAAATTTAAAAAAAGGAGGTTTTATTAGCATAATGTAATTCAATTAACAATAATAATGATTATTTAATTTCAAGTGCATATTTGGTTGCCTATACTAAAATTGTATTCCATGTTTAAGTTTATTCGCTATTAAAATAATTTGAGTGCCTTATTAACAAATTTAGAACAATGTTTTCTCAAGTTTTTTTTGTAAATATATATTTTTTTAAAATAGTGTGATATACAGTCACAACGCTACGTAGCCGTAGCCACCGCCAGGTGTGCACGGGCGTAATGTTGGTTGAGTAAAAATCTAATTAATTAATATTAACATAAAAAAATGCAGTTGCAATGTATTTAAGATAAAATAAAAAATAGCAACGCTTAATTGCCATAATGTATTAATATTAATAATATTAATAATTAGTTATCTATTTTAACGTGCATGTTTAGTTGCCTATACTAAAATTGTACTCCATGTTTATTCAAAATTAAAGAAAAATAGTTTGTGCTTTCTTACAAAATACCTATTCTAACGGGTTTAAAACAAAGTTTTTTTGTTTTTATTTGTAAATGTATTTTTTTTTTTAATTGTGGCACCGTCACAGCGCCACGTGTCCATAGCCACCGCCATCAGCCCGAAATGTCAACTGTCAACTTCTGATTTGCAATATTTGTGGTTATATTTACACTTTTTTCATTAAATTCTAAACTAAATACAAACCGTGTTAAATGGCAGGCTTTACCGAATCGGCTTTTATCAAAAAACTAACCGATTTAAACAATTCCTCGCAAAGTATCCAAACATTGTCTTTTTGGTTAATTCATCACAGAAAACACTACAGCACAGTGGTGAAATTATGGGGCAGAGAACTGGTCAAAGGTACGAAACATTGAAATTTAATAGTTTCACACACCCACGATGTTTTTTTCAGCCAAGGACAGCAAAAAACTAACATTCATGTACCTCGCAAACGACGTGATCCAAAACAGCCGCAAAAAGGGGCCCGAATACGGCCAGGAGTTCGGGGCTCACTTGAAAAAGGCTTTCGAACACATGTCCGACGCCGAGGAGAAAACCAAAAGCAGTTTGGAACGATTATTAACGATTTGGAGCGAAAGAGGGATTTATAACGAGACTCAAATCACCGAATTTAGGAGCGCATTAAGTGAGTTTTTGTCATTTCTCCGACACAATTTCACAATTTTGTTACAGAGAAAGAGGGTCCTCCGGCGAAAAAAGCCAAAACCGATGGAAAGCCCCCCAAAGAGAAGAAAAAGTCTGAACATGAAGTCACAGTAGAAGTGGACGGGATGGTGGAGACGCATGTGCATTTGAGTCCACACACGCCGGCCGGGGACCCCCCTGAGCCCGAGGAACTGATCAAAGCCATCCAAGACTTGGAGAATAACATCGCGTCGGCGGATGAGGGGGTGAGACAACGGATTGCCCAATTGCCCCCTTCGGTGACTGAAATTTCGTCAATAGCAAACCTACAAGGCTAGTTTTTCGATTTTTCACGAGTTGTATCACTAATTTTTTTATAACCAGATAAAGAACAGGCGGAGAAATTAAGTCAACAAGTCAACGAAGCTGTAACGTTACTAAATGAGTACAACAGTCGACTCGCCACTGAAATGGAACATCGTAAGAAAGTTTCGTCTATGATTAGGGATTTTCTTCAGGTACAGCAAGAATTGTTGGCTCAAGCTGAGCAAAATTTAGAGGTAAAACACTGTTTGATGTCTTCGTTTATTTATGGGAAATTTCTAGGAGTATCAAGATAAATTAATCAAAGTCTATAGTGTTCGAAATGAGTTGAAATCTCACATTCAGAATTTACCCGATTTGACGCAACTACCGAACGTAACCGACGGGTTAGCCCCGTTACCGTCTGCAGAACATTTATTTATGCCTTAAATTGTGATTTTTCACACCGTGTTTAAGTGTCGACTGGCGTTAGCTAAATTTTAATCATATTTTAGTTATGCATAATTATATTTATTCAAGCACAGGGTGCGCTAGTTTTAATAGTTGTCAAAGAATTTTTAAATAAATTTGATTTATTGACATGCATTTTACTGTATTTCCCTATCAACGAATATTAAACAAACGAGGAGCCGTTAAGTAAAAGTATCAATTATTTGAAAAAATTCCACCGTAATTCCGATAGTTCTCAAAAATTTGATGTAATTTTAAAAAGGAATTATCAGTAGTAATTCGAGGGCTATTTTACAGACTATTTCTCGAACAAAATTTACAAAATATTTTTATTATCAGAAACAGAAAAAAAAAATTGGCAAAAAAATGTATGTCAATCAAACTTTCAAATATCTGAGATTCATCCAATCAGATTTATGGTAATTAAGCACACGTGCTGAATTATCGCATAATTTAAATCTGATTGGATGAATGTCAGAAATTTAAAAGATTTATTGGTTTGAATTGTGAGGGAGTGAGTCCCTATAATCAAAAAAAAAACAGTAATTCTAGAAAAATTTCAGGATTTCACGAATAACTCCAATAATTCCATTGTTTTCAGAACAATTTTAAATTAATTCTGATAGTTCTAAGAAATTTAACATAATTTTCTAAAGAATTCCACTAATTCTCAAATAATTCCAAACGATTCAAAGATAACTTCGATAATTCCAAAAAACAAGCAAATTTTCTCTTTCTTTACTTGGAATCACACGAATTATTATGGAATTACCAAAACGAAGTTAGAATTTTAGTATTTTTTTTAGGAAAACAATGGAATTACACGATGGATTATTTGTTAATTGTTACTATTGTTCGAATTCGTTTTATTTGATTTTAATGAGATTCTTGGTGGAAAATACCTTAAATGTTTAGTTAATGCATATTTTGTATATACAGGTGCGCCAGAACTCGCGCCCCAGAGAAAAATTTCAAGTAAGATACCAGAAACATGGAAAAAATGTTATGGCAAAAAATTTTGACATTTATTTTTTGACATTTGTCATTTCTTTATGTATATTTAATAATACTGATAATCTTGTATGTATTTTTTAACAATTATTTAGTAAAGGCACAAAAATTTTGCCAATAAAAGCCACAAATAATATTAAACACAGTTACAATTTAGGATACAGCTTCTTATTTGTTTCCTCTTCTAATAGCTTGTAGCAAAAAAACTTGGAAAATTATTTTTCTAACAGAAATAAATAGTCAAAGTGCAAACTTTAAACTCTCATAACTTCGAAATTTTTATAGATAAAATTTTTTAAACTTGTTTTCCATGTTCCTGGTATCTTACCCTATATGGCATTTTTTTCTGGGGCGCTAGTTCTGGCGCACCCTGTATTTTCAATTTTTGCAAATTTCTCTCAATTTTTAAAAAATACACTAATAAATATAATAATAAAACAAGACAAAATATGCAGAATTAGTAAAAAAAACATTTTTGGCGCTCTCCTTTAGTTATAACTTTTTTTCGCAGCGAAACTAAAAAAAATCGAGAGTTTTGGCCACAATAACAGAAAATTACAAAAATTAATTAATTTATTTTAAAGAATGCACAATCGTTGACCTTGACGAGTTTTGTCGCACAAAAAATTGGAAAACATGTTGCAGACACCGAAAAATAAAATGAGTCATTCTATTTTTCGACGCATAAACAAAACATGGACAGTGATTCCTCGTCTTATTATGAGACGACGTACAGCGAAGATGAAAGAATTGGTGAAATTTACCGTCATTCATTAATACTTTTCATAACACGTTTTTTTGTAGAAAAATGGCTTCAAAAAAAGAAGAGAAAGCGGGCCCAGCGTGCCCAAGAAATCGATTTGGGCCGACAAAAACTGTTTGAAGATTTTGCCAAATCCGACTCGGAGATTTTTGATTTGCCAGGGGTAAAATTCCACCGTTTTCGACACACAAAAATCAAATTTTCATTCCATCCGGCATCATTCACCAATTTGGTCAATCCAAATGTCATTTTTTACATTTCTCTCAAACACGTTGGCACATATTGGGGGGTGAAAAGGGATTCACTTCCAAGTAACTTCAAATGGAGGATTTATAGTTTGTTTTATGACGAAAATTCTGAAGTTAATGATGACAATATTCTCTCAACTATTATGATAATTCACGAACGACTGAAATTGTGGGCACAGAATGAAGAAGAATTTCGTAAGGATAAGTTTGAGGTAGGAGAACTAACTGTGTACTAAATGTAGATAAATTCATTTTTTTTATTAATCAGAGGTACAAGAAGGGTGATGAAGACCTGGAACTGGATTCAGACGATGAACAGTTTTTTCTAACACAAGATGAAAGAAATGAACGTCTTCAGAAGAAAGTTAAAATCCTTCTTCGAATGATACCTCCACAAAGAAGAATATAAATCTATTTTATTTTTATTATTATTTATATTTGTTATTGTTATTATTACCCATACCAGTAAATAAAAGGTATAGAATCAAACGTTTTTTGCTTAAACTGTTTATTAAAAAAAAAACTAATTGTTTTGATTTTGTTCTGTAATTTTTTTTTTAAATGAAAATCCACTACAAAACGTTTTTTGATAAAGGTTATGATAAAGATTACAATTATATCTACCTTTATTTTCTTTTATCAAAAGAATTTTCACAAGTAAATTATGTTCCAACTTTCTTTCTCAAAATACGATCATGGTACTTTAATTTTTATTAATAATTATGTTCTCTATTAATGTTTTATAAATTCTGTTGCTGTTGAAACATTTTGGTATTTATACCAGAGCAAAAAATTAATATAAAGAAGCTGAAAAAATATAACCCATTTCAGATGTAAGTTTGCCTTTTTTCTGTCACTTTTTTTTTTATTTTAATGAGTTTCTCGGTCAAAATCTACCAAAACAACAGACCAATTTAAAAAAAAAAATTAGTTTCGCAAATCGATTAAAAATAGCACAAATTGCTTCATTTGAGCATAAAATGAAGATTAGAGAAATTATTTTTGTAAAATGCATTAATTTTGAATTAATTGCTCAATTGAGCGAAATTAAATTAAAAATAGCTCAAATTGCTTTATTTTAGAAGAAAACTCTTATTCAAGCCATTATTTTGTCGAAATACTTTGATCCAGGTTGATTTTCGGCTTAAAATTGATCCAAATCGATTCAAAATATTACAAATTGCTTTACTTAAGCCTAAAATTGGAAATGAAAAAAATTATTTTTATAAAATACATTAATTTAGAATAAATTCTGTACTAAAATCGACCAAAATTAGTTTAAAAATAGCTAAAATTGCTTTATTTTGGAAGAAAACTCTTATTCAAGCCATTATTTTGTTGAAATATTTCCGGCTTAAAATTGAGCCAAATCGATTGGAAATAGCACAAATTGCTTCATACCTAAAATTGGAATTGAGGCAATTATTTTTTATAAAATACATTAATTTCGAATTAATTCTGTATTAAAATCGAGAAAAATTGAAGCTTTAAATTTAGAAGAGATCATCAAAAATAATCATTGTTTTTACTAATTTTGCATTTTCTGTCTTGTTGTTTTAAATTTATTAGTTTATTTCTTTGTAGTTTAGAGAAATAGGCAAAACTAACCGACTTTAAACCTACTTTTGCTATTTTGTCTAGTTTTACCGAATTTATTTGGTTGGTATTTTTAAAAATTGAAAAATAACAAGTACAAAAGTCACAAAATATGCAATAATTAAACATCCAAATTATTTTTCATTGTGAAATTTATTAAAATCAAAAGATTTCCACAAAATTGACTACTTTTTGCGAGTTTTTCACCAAGAAACTCATTAAAATTGAGAGATTCCGCCAAAAAAACAAACTAATAGAAGAACAAAAACACGATTAGCCCGTCGTTTCCATACCAAGAAGATCCAAGAAGAAGAAAAACTAATAGAAAACAGCCAAATTAGATCTTTAATTATTCTTACTGATTTATTTTTGTCTATTCCCCTAAATTTGCAGTCTTAACATAGAAAATCAAAAATCTAATAAAATAAAACACGAAATTGCAAAATACTTTATTTTTCCCCTTTGGTGTGCTAATTTAAAACTTTAATTTTTTTTTAAATCAACACAAAATCAAATTTAACTACTCGGTGCCCCACACCACTTGTTAATAAACGCCAAGACATTCGAAACATTCGACTCTGGTGCCATTTTCGCCCCCATATTCAGCTTCGACCACACATCTTTATTTGCCTGAAAATTCGATTTTGCAAAAGTAACAATCTGTTTCCGGACCGGATATCCGGAAACAACGCACGGTTGTTCCCCTGGTTGTAAACAACTCTCGTACAGTTGTCTATCATCCAAAGGCAACGTCTGAAAGAGCAGTTTTTTTTTCCAATTTTTTAATTATTTTTCTTACCTGTTCGATTCTTTGATCCATGCTCACTGTTAGCACCCATTCACGCACATTGTCATGTTCACGTGGGTCTTCCCCTAAATACAATCGTCCAGGAAGTGGAATATTTGACGGAAAATCAGTTTGGACTAAATCCGAATGGTCTACAAGCTGGCCTTCGCCTTCTTCGATAGCTTCACACAAATCTAGATAATGATTCAAAAAAACGAAAGCTTCCGATAAGCGTCCTTCCTCTTTTAGGTCTTTCCCCGCCTCATAAAACGCTTTATCGGCTGGTATTATATCAGTATATCTCAATAATGCACTACTTATTTTAACACCTATTGGTTTCAAAGACGGTACTTGTCTACAAGCTGTACGAAGGGCGTAATAGTGACTAATCAATAATAAATTCCTAAAGTGAAGCTTTGTTTCCATGTTGGTATTAGCTGCTAAACCTTCATTCTACAAATCACAATAATCAAAAAATAGTACGTTATGTCATGAGGAGTAAAAGTGATAGTGCCGAACGTAGTGAGGCAAATAATTCAGCTAAACCACATAAACTCACTTTTACTCCAAATAACATATACTATTTTATCCGCAAACGCATTCAGGTCGAGAGTAAGAAGCACACTATAATTAGTAAGTAAATGAACAAAAAAATCAGGACGCTTATTAATTTAACTAGTGCAGTTAGTAGTGCAAAATTACAAGAAAATTTCATGGTCATAAAAGTGGTCACTTATGTGAAGTTTGCGGATATTTGTTTTTTCTATACTCAACTATTTCAAACAGCATTTGTCTCAGTTGTTCCCAAACTGAAAAACTTTCAGGTCCTGAAATATCCGACAAAGCGAAAATCTCTGAAGCAATGTGATTATAAATGTTGAAATTTTGAGGCATTGCCGGAGCTCCATGTGTTGAATAGAGATTTAAGGCTTCTTTTACGAAGCCATCTTTGAGTAATTTCGCTGCGTATAAAGCAACATATTTGTGTAAAATGGGGGCGTTGTGAGTCTTGGCTTTTTCGATACATCGGGCCCATTGGCCTTGTTCGGCGAGCAAATCCAAAGCGCCGATTATGTCTAAAAAACAAGCACTTTTTATTTTTTTTAATTAAATAAAACAATAAAATTTCCAACGGTTTATTACTAGCAAACTGATTCACAAAGAAAAAAATAAAATTTAAAATAATTAGGCAGCAAAAACTCCCTAAAATCAAAAAACTTTCGCCAAAATAATGCAAAAAATAGCAAAACTTAGTTAAAAACACAAAATTTTTGCGTGTTCTTCTAGAAGTTAGGAAACTTATTACTAAAAGAGAAAATGACAATATTTTTTGTCCACTAAACAAAATAACGCCTTTCTAAAATTAGAGCGTTTTTTACGGAAAAACTATCAATAAATTCAGAAAATTTGGCAACAATAATGCAGAAAATACGAAATTTTTTTGTTATATTTTCGTCTGTTTCTACAGGTTTAAGTCGGTTTTCACAGAAAATCTTATTATAATTAATTATTATCAATTTAAATTTGAATGATTTCGGCAAAAGAAAACAGAAAAGCGCAAAATTGTATCTAAAAAGTGTTATTTTTTCGCTTGTTACTTTTATTTAGATAATTTTGGCCAAAAAGGACAGAAAATCCCAAACCTGGATCAAAAAATGTAATTTTTTCGATTGTTTTGAGCCATTTAGCATTTACAAGTACAGCGCTTAAACAAATCAACAAAAAGTAAAGTAAAATCAAAAAATTTGTCTAAAATATTGCTGAAAAACACAAAATAGTGAACTGTTTCTCCAAATTTTGTTAGAAAAACTAACAAAATGTAATATATTTGTCCAAAATATTTAGCCGAAATAGACAAAAGTCGCAAAATATGATCAAAAACACAAGATTTTTGCCTGTTCCTCAAGATGTGGGGCATGTTTTAAAATTGAGAAATAGGGATTTCCCTAAAACAAAACAAAAAATAACTAAAAATTAGGACTACTGTGTGTTATTTTCATCTGTTTCTCTAAATTTAAAGCGTCTTTCAACGAAAATCATTTTTAAATTCAAAAAATTTTCAAAAATTATACAAAAAAATAAAAAAACCGTCATAAAATAAATTTTTTACGTCTACTTCTCTAGGTTTTGAACGATTTTCAAAAAAACTTTTTGGGCGAGAGAAAACAGAAAATCGAAAAATTGGATCTAAAAAGTGCTATTTTTCGCTTGTTTTGCTCTACTTGAAGTGCTTTTTAACATGTAATACAAAAGATTTGGCCAAAATATTACAAACAAGTTCAAAATTTTCAACTTCAACAAACAAAATTGGAAAAATTTGCTCAAAATAATGTAGAAAATTAAAAAAATCAAGCCCAAAATGCCTTATTTTCGCTCATTTTTTACCGAGAAAAACATACTAAATTCAATAGGCGTTATTATCGCTTGCTTCTATAGATTCTCTTTGAAAAACTCATTTTAAAATTAAAAGTTTTGTCCAAAATAATGTAAAAATTCTTAAAATTAGACCAAAAATGCGTTATTTTCTGTTGTTTGTTAGCTTCATAACGCTTTTCGCCCAAAAACAGTTTACATTTGAGAGGTTCTCAGGTCAGGTTATGAGAAATTTCTAAATTTTTACGAAAACAAAGTAGAAAATGACAAAATTAAGTTAAAAAACCTTAGTTACAAGAATTTGTACCAAAACTCATATACTTAAATCGAAAGATTTTTGAACAAAATAATGCAAAAAAAAACTCAGAATTTGATCAAAAATGCCTAATTTTTGCTTGTTTCTTTAGTTTTTGGACATTTTTAACTGAGAAACAAAACATAACAGAAAACGGTCTATTTGCGTCTGTGTTTTTACCGAAAAACTGAAAATTCGAATAACAAAAAGTTTGTTTTTTCATTTGGCGCAACTTCTAAATGTTCTAAAAATTGTATAATTTTTTTTTTAGATTTGAAATTGAATAAAAAAATGTTCAAAAAACAGAAAACTACTCACCAACATCGGCAAGTTGCTCCACATCTCCTTTTTTCAACAACCGATCCTTGTACTTACTCTCCACATAACTTTCATAGGCCGGATCTAACTCCTTGGCGACTTTCCTCGCCTTATTCCACTCTTCAGCGACAATAAGCGTATCAATAGCCTCCTTCATCATATCCATACTTATGTAAAGTTGGGCGGCAACCCCATGTTCCCCGATTTCCGTCAACCTCGGCGACAAAACTTTGATAATATCAAGGGCTTCCGGTCCGAATAAAAACTTATTAACCATATCGGCGGCCCTCAAAAGGGCCCTTTTCACAATCGAAGGCTCGGTAATACTCGTATTGACTTGCAAGAGACAGTCAATTGCTTGTTTATGTTGCCCTGCCAAAGCCCATTCGTTCGCTTTCGATAAAAGTGTTTCGATATTAACATCGGACATTTTATTATGATGCGAATTGCTGTATTCCGATTGTAAAGTCGGGTAAAGATGGGGAAGATAATCTTTACACACGCGTAAAGCATCCACCCACATATCTACAAGTTTTTTATTTATTTTTTGTGACTTTATGATTTTTTTTTACCAGCGCTTTTATATTTCTGTACAATCAATTCAGGCATTTGCGCCCTCAATAATAACACCTCAAACTCCTGAAATTGCTTATCGTGAAAACATTGCGCCGCTTGCGCTTGTAACACTTCAGGAACTGTGCCAGGTTCATAAGTTTCAGCAATTCGTAAAGCGTTAATCCAATTTTTTGAATGGATGTACATCAGAACTGCCTCTTTTGGTTTTTCGGCTAAAATAAACTCGGATTCGGCTTGATTGAATTTGCCGTCGTCCTCTAATGCCATTGCGTATTTGTAATGCACTTCGGTGACCTAGGCGAAAAATTGTGAGGACGGAAATGACAAAAGCAGTGGCGGATTTGAGCTTTTGGGGCCCTAAAGTATTGCTATTAATAAACAAAAAGACTAATAAAAACTGATTGGCTTAAGAATCACATTGAATTCAAGAGATTTGTATAAAATAATGCAAGAAAAAGTAATGTTAATTGTAAAATGAGTTTTTTCATGTCTTTCGACCTATTTATTGAGTTTTTCACCTGAAAAACACCAAATTTGCAAGTTTTTACCAAAACATCGCAAAATTAAATCGGAAGTGGGGTATTTTTACTTGTTCCTTCCATTTACTAGCTTTTTTTTACCAAGAAACCAAAAAATTTAGTATAAAGAATACAGAAAAAAGCAAAATTGTTTCAAAAATGTTTTCAAAAATTATTTCTTTAGACTTCAGGACTTTGCACTGAGAGATTTAATAAATTTGAGACATTTTGCCTAAAAAAAGAAGAAAATCGCAAAATTAAATGTAAAATGCATTGTTTCATCAACTGATGGTTTTGGCTTAAATTGCGAAATAAGGTCTAAAATGGATTATTTTTGCCTCTTCTTTTATGATTTAAATTTGCAACATTAACTCTCAAATGACTTTTTTCGCCTGTTTTTCATCAAGAAAACATTCAGTTTGAATAATTTATCAAAAATAATACTAAGATAACAAAATATTCATTTTTAGGCAGTGTTTCAATGATAAAAACATTAAATTTGACAGATTCATTTACCAGCTCTTTTTATAGAAAAACAAATTTGATTTAAATAATTCGAAGAATTGCAAAATTGGTTCATTTAGTACAAGGGTTTTTTCTTTTTGTAATCCAGAAACTCAATAAATAAAAAAAAGATAAAATAAAAAAATCGTAAAATTTATGTCGGAAAAATTTTACGTTTGTCTATTTCTTTACATTTAGAGCATTATGTTTAATTCGATGGAAAAAAAAGAATGAATGATTTTAATTAGTAAGATTAAGTTTCAAATGAGTTTCTTTGTCTATTTTTCATCAAAAAACACTAAATTTGAGAGATTTTTTCCAAAATAATACAGAAAATAGCCAAATTTTCATCAGTTTAGTCAGTTTTTCACCAAGGAAAGTACTCAATTTAAGAGATTTTTACAAAACAAAACAAACTTGAAAAATTAGATAAAAAATTGCATTATTTTCGCCTCTTTCACTCAATTTATTACTCATTTTCTGTAATCCAGAAACGCATTAAATATGAAAAAATATATTAAAATTTTGCAAATTTATGACGTTTGTCTGTTTCTTTACAATTAGAGCGTTTTTTATTGAAAGACTAACTAAATTCGAAAGATTTGGTTTAAATAATCTTAGCAATTGCAAAATAAGGTCTAAAATTGAATTAATTAGCCTATTTTTTGTGATTTAAATTTACAAACTTAAGTCTCAAATCAGTTTTTTCACCTGTTTTCCACCAAAAAACACTAAATTTAAGAAATTTGACAAAAATAATACCGCAAATAGCAAAATTTTCATCTGTTTAGGGAGGTTTTCAAAAGAAAAACATTAAATTTGGTTTAAATAATACCGAAAATTGCAAAAATGGGTCTTAATGGACCTTAATTTTTTTTTAGGAAAAACTAACAAAATTTGGAAATTCTGATTTAAATTTGCAAAATTAAGTCTCAAATAAATTTTTTCACCAGTTTTTCACCAAGAAAACAAACTATATTTCATAAATTTGTCAAAAATAATAGAAAAAATAGTAAAATTTTCATGTTTAGATAGTTTTTTACGAGAAATTTCTTCAAAACAAAACAGAAAATCGCACAATTCGGTTTGCAGTGGGTTATTTTTGCCTATTCTTCTCATTCACGAGCCTTTTTCACCAAGAAAGCAAGAAATTCGGCCTAAGTTGTGTACAAAATGGTAAAATCAGATCAAAGATGTGCCTATTCCGCTCATTCACAAGCCTTTTTCACCAAGAAAGCAAGAAATTTGGAAAAATACAAAATTGGCTCCAAAATATGTTGTTCTTTAGACTTTAAAAATAATTTTGACCCGAACAATAAAGAAACTAAGAAAACCAGGTCTAGTATTCTAATTTTTGTCTATTTTGTTCGTTTTGGTACGTTTTTTATTGGGAAAAACGCCATAAAATCGGAAATTTAGCTCAAAAATATGTTATTTTTTAATGAGAAAATCGACAATTACTCTAATAATTTTCACTGTTTTACATAACATTAATTTCAAAAATAAAACCATTTTAACGTTACGATTTCATAGTTAGTTGTAGAAAAATTTTATATTTGCTACATGCTAAAAAAGCCTAAATCCACCACTGTCCAAACCTCACCTTATTGGGCAAATTCTTACACAACTGAAACGCAAAATCAAACTGATACGTTTCACAAGCGTAATTAACACACGAATCCAAAATCCCATACTTATTCAACAACTTAATCGCCGAATCAATGGGCAAAGTCCTCGCCCACAAAAACGCCACTTGACTCGCCGCCATTGCTCCACCATTTTGTTTCGCCACACGGTACGCCTCCTCCCACATCCCCAAACTCCTATACATATTCATCGCAGCTTTCCATTCACTCACGGCCAAATAATGAATTTCAGCCGCTCGGTACTTCCCCTGACTCTCCAATTGTTGACCCAAATGCAAATGAGTCGTTTGCAAAAGATCAGGATGGTACTTTTCGACAAGTCGCACCATATTATCATACTGCTCGACTTTCTTATACATCGCAATTGCCAAATCGGGGGAATTTACCGAAACATAAAGACGTTCAGCGTCACGAAATTTGCCGTTTTCCTCGAGTTGGGCCGCTTTTTTAATGTACATTTCGGCGACTTCTTCAGGTTCGAGGTATTGGGAGGCTAAATTGTGGGCTTTTTCCCACTGACCGGCCTCGTTGTACATATCAACAGCCTCTTTGTACATCCCCGAGGAGATATAAAGCTTCTCAGCTGTGGCAAAATCACGAATTTTTGCAAAATAACCACCAATAGTGTCGTAGTATTTTTTCACTGATTCTTGATCGTCGATTACTCGAATTATATGGACGGCTTTTTTCCACTGTTTGGCCGCAACGGCCGTATCTAAAGCCTTCAAAGTGCGACCAGCTTCGATAAAATGACTTATTGCAGCATCCAATTGTTTGCTTTCAACCAAACTATCGCCCCATTCCTCCTCCAAATCCACCACCTTATCTGGACTCACTTCACGAGCCAAATCCACAGCTTTATTCCAAACCTTCCCTTTTCGGTAACACTCCATCGCAAGATCAATCTTGTCCAACTTTTCATATATTTCAGCAGCAGCTTCAAACATTTCATGTTTGACCAAGTTTTTCAACACCGTTGCTATCAACGTCTGATCTTTCAACAGCTCTTGATTTTTCAGCACCAATGACGGTACTCGAAGCAATTTCCCCGACTTGATATACATGTTCAAGGCTTGTTCAAACTTGTTCTCCTTTTCCAACACTTGACCGACTTTCTCATATTGACCACTTTGCAAAAGAACAGACATGTGTTCGTCTTGGAGTTGTTTCAACTTGTCGTAACCACGTTGTTCGGCTAGTCGTAACGCCTCGTCCCACTTGTGTAATTTTTTGTACATGTTTAAAGCACTCTCGATGTCGCCTTGTTCCAAATAAATATTTTCCGCTGTTGTTAAATCGCCGTTCAAGATTGATAAACGTGCCCAAATTTCGGGACTTTCATTCGATAATTTATCAATTGTTTCGCGAAGGAAATGTACAGCTGCTACGTTACCTAAAGCTGCGTTACAACGCTCAGCTAATTGTAAGTTGTGCTCTTTTAGGGCAATTGTTGATAAGTTGTGCCACATTGCTGACGCTTCCGGGGAATTACCCATCGATTCCAAGAAAAGAACGGCTCTGGCGTAATCGTTGTCGTGGATCGCAGTTCCTAGAAACGAGCGAAGCGAGTGTGGAATAAAACAGACAACTGTCTGTTTTTTTTAAATTAAATTTAAATGAAAGTAAAAAAGAAAAATCAATAAATGAAGCAAGAACAGAAAATTTAAAAATTGAAGAAAAGTCAAAATAGCAGAATTATTGAAGGAACTGTACCTAGACTTGACAAAGTTAAGGTTGAAGAAAAAATAAAATGTACGACTTGTGTGTCAAACTCCAAAAACTAAAAAGTGCTGAAATGTAAGTAGCGAAAAATAAAGAATGTAAAATAAAAGAATATTCAAAAAAATATAATTTAAGTTTTCAAAAAGGGAGAAGTTGAAGAATAAAAAAGTAAAGAGAAGTTTGCGCCAAAAATGCAAATATTTCGAAAATATGAGTAATAAATACTAACAACAGATTCCAATAAAAGTGCTCCTAGAATTTAAAAAGTAAAAATCAAAAAAGTTTAATAAAAACTAATAACAAAGAAAGTAAAAAATATTAAAGCGTTGTTAGGTAAAGAAAGAAAAAGACAAAAAAGAAGAACATAATATTAGGTACGTTAAATACAAGAATCAGAATTTTTATCAATAATCCAGAAAAATAAAAAAATTGTAGACTTGAGAATGTTAAGGTTAATGAGTTTATACACTGAAAACTGAAAAGTGCTAAAATGTAAAAAGCGAACGATAAAAGAACTTTAAAATAAAAGGTAAAAATTTTATTTTATAATAAAAAAGCACAAAATACAAAATATTCAACAAAAAACTTAAATTTTCAAAAAGAATACTTAAAAAATTAAAAAGTGAAGAAAAGTCTGCGCCAAAAAATGCAAATGTTTCGGTAATAATATTAACTGAAAAAAATTGTATATTCCAAAAAAAGTTTAAACAAAAGCTAATAAAGAAAAAAAGTAAAACACAGTAAAGCTTAAATATATAAAGAAAAAGACAAAAAAAGAATATAATGTTAGATTAAAGAATTAAAATCTTTATCAAATTATCAATAATCCGGAAAAATAAAGAAACTATAGACTTAAGAAAGTTAAGTTTGAAGAAAAAATAAAATGTGCATGTGTCAAATTAAAGAATCTACAGGGTGCGCCAGAGTTGAAAAGTGCTAAAATGTAAGAAACGAAAAACAAAGAAAGTTTAAAATAAAAGGTATAAATATCCAGTTTTATAACAAAAAAGCACAAAAAATGAGGAAAATTAAAGAAAGTAAAAATTGAAAAAACATGCTTAAAGTGCTAAAGTTCAAAAAATTAAAATAAGGGAAGTAAAAATTACTTAAGTTTTAAGAATAATAAAAGAAATTAAAATATACTGTTAAAGAATCGGAATGTTTAATAATAAAAGCATTAAAAAAAACTGTATATATGAATTGAATAAAAACAACTAAAAAAATTAAAATAAAATAGTAATAAGTTTAAAGAAAAAAGTAAAGTAAGTAAAAAACTAAATAATTAGGAAACATAATTTACTTTTTAAAACATTTCAACAAATAAATAAAAAACTGAAGTGAAAAGTGAAGAAAATTAAAAAATTATCTCAAAGCAGCAAAATTTTTAAAGACCAAAACGGAAAAATACATCTGTTAATAACAAAAACAGGAGGAATAAAGAAACTGTAGACTAGAGAAAAACAAAAAGAAAAGAAAAAAGAAGAAACGCAAGAAAAAGTAGAAGAATATATGTCTATTGACTTTTTTAAAGACCATAGAACTATAATTTTCAGCCATGTTAAAATAAAAGTTTATGATAAAATATGCAAAAAACCAGTTTGTTTAATTATTAAATTAAATTGCCTTTCGTTAAAATATAATATAAAATGAAAGTAAAAACTTCCAAAAACCATGAATTCAAAAAAGTCAATCAATGAAGCAAGAACAGAGGATTTAAAAATTGAAAAAGAGTCAAAATAGCAGAAGTATTGAAGAATCAAAATTTTTGTCCATAACCCGAAAAAATGAAGAAACTGTCGTTTTGGCAAAGTTAAGTTAAAAAATAAAATGTGCTACTTGTGTGTTAAATTTAAGAATAGATATAATATTGTTGAGTTTTATACACTGAAAAAGAAAAAATATCCGGTTTTATAACAAAAACGCACACAAAATGCAAAAAATTAAAAAAACTTGAATTTTCAAAAATTGAAAAAAAAATTCTTCAGATTCCAATAAAGTACTGACGTTCAACAAGTTAAAATGAAGGAAATAAAAATTACTAAAGTTTTAAGCATGAAGAAAGAAAAAGCAAAATAAAAATCGAAATAATAATATACTGTTAAAGAATCGGTATGTTTAATAATAATAAAAGCATTAAAAATAAAGAAACTGGAGATTTGAATTGAATAAAAACAATTGACGAAGTGAGTAAAAAAAATTAAAACAAAGTAATAAGTTTAAAGAAAAAAGTAAAGTAAGTAAAAAAACTAAATAATTAGGAAACGTAATTTACATTTTAAAGCATTTCAACGAATGAATAAAAAACTGACATGAAAAGTGAAGAAAATTAAGATGTTAACTCAAAGCAGCAAAATTTTTAAAGACAAAAAAGAAATGAAGAAGCTGTAGACTAGAAAAGAAAAAATGCAAGAAAAAGTAGAAGAATGTTTATTGACTGTTTTAAAGACCATAGAACTATAATTTTCAGCCATGTTAAAATACAAGTTTATGATAAAATGTACAAAAAACAGTTTGTCCAATTATTAAATTAAATTGCCTTTGTTAAAATATAATTTACAAGCGAATAGAATACACTATTTTTTCTACTAGTTTAAAAACAACACGAATTAAGCACTTACCAAACTCGACAAGCCCTTCGTCCAATTCCAAATTGTAGACATTATTCCCATCAATACAAACCGCTTCCGTTTTACCATTATTCCTCACAACATCAGTAACATCCCCCTTGACACTCATTATCGTGGGATTTTCAGGCATTTCAATATTATACCAAATCGCTAAACTGGTATTTGCTTGAGCTACAGCAACATCACTACCTTCGACCCATTGAACAAAGCTAACACCCGTGAAAATACACTGTTTACTTTGAGTGCTTGTATCCACCAAAATTAATCTACAAAGAATATTTTCCCCAACATTTCTCTCACAAAAATCATTGTTAAACCTCTGTTTTTTGTCCCGAAACAGTAATTTCTGACCGGTTTCGTTCAATTCCAACCAGTCAATTTTCGAATCGTGCGTCACTTGCGATATTAAAACACCGTTTAAGAGATCCACGATACAAATCGTCTTCAAATCCAACAAATAAGCCAATTTTTTGTTATCAGTTGTTGAAATTCGTTCATTTAAACGCACACTAATTAAATGCGGATTCGCAAATTCGGTCCTCACCGAACACAAAACTTGATCGTCTCCGTATTCGATGAGTGTTAATTCACCGGCATTGAAAACCAAACAAACTGTTGGGTAATCAAAGTAGAATTTTTCGTGTCGGCCTGAATTGTTCCATGGAACTTCGCTCAGTAAGTGTCTTTGTAAATCGGCCACTAATAAAGTTTCTTCAGTTCGAGCAACTAGATAAAAATCTTTGCCCATTATTTTAACATCTTCGATTTCACCGCCGTGTTGGGATTTTATTATGGTTCCGCTTTCGTTGCTGTCTAAGGGTTTTACGAGGACTTGGCTCGGGCCAACGTAGGTGATCTCAAATTTGTCTTTCCAAACTGTTCGTTTCAATACTGAAACATTTTTATTGGTTTTATTGAAAAGAAGAAAAAAAATAAAGAAAGAAGATGAAAACTAATAACAAGAAGAGGAAGAAAAAGTATAAAAACAAAAGGATATTGTCAATATCAGCAAATTAATAAAGAAAAAAGAAGTTTAAAATTAAATTTAAGAGTTATAAAACAAGAGACTTAATAATCAATTGAAGAAGCCACTTAGATTTTTAAAAATCTCAATAAATGAAGAAACTGAAGATTTAGGAATTAAAGATCCGCAGTTGCTAAAATTGTGATTTAAGGAAGAATCAATAAAAAAGGAATAAAAACGAAGAATGCTTAAATAAAAGTCAATGACAAAAAAAGCAAAATAACACAATTTTATAAAAATAAAGAAAGTAGGAAGATTGAAAGTATTTAAAACTAACAGAACAGGAGCTTAAAGTCCACTGAATGATAAAAAAATTACCGAATAAAGAAACTAAAATTTGTTAAATTATCTGAAAAGTAAAAAGAATGAAGAAATGATTTAACTAGAAGAAGCAACTTAGGTTTTTGAAAAGTTCATTGAACGAAAAAAAACACAATCAAGGAAAAAATCTATGAAAATTAAAATCGGACATAAAAAAAATTAAGGAATTATTAACAAAATATGATAATTTTAAAGACAAAAAAAAGAAATAATGAATTCATTCAAAAAAATTTCATTAATAAACATTCCCATTCTTTCTTTCTGTCTTAAAAATTCAAAAATAGTTATTTATTATATAAAACAATAAAGAAATTGTTTATCTACGAGTGAAAAGAATAAATTTACAAGTGACGAAGTCACGAGTAGACTTTTTCACAAGTAGATAAACAATCTTTATCGTGGTGTATAATATTTCGGTTTTTTTTGTACTCACCTACCAGAATTTCTTGAATATAAACAGTAGATAAAAATTATTTTATTTCACTAGACTATAAAAGACTACTTTATCTATTGAAATTGGTTGATAAAAGCACTCTTTAACACTGAGTACAAAATAAAATATTTTAATTGTCAAAAATATCTTTTTTTTTAAATATTCGATTTTAAATTTTATTATTTTTACCACTTTTTGTGGTTTATTATAAGAAACTGTAGATGAAGAGCTGAAGATTAAAATCGTGATTAAAAAACAATTAACGATGTAAGGGAAAAACTGAAGCAAAAATGTCAAATTGTAAAATATGTGTGTTGTTGAATACAAACATTAAAAAATGTGTTATAATGTTATAAGACGAATAAAAGAAAAAAAAAAGTATTATAAGAGAGAGAAAAAAAAAAGAAATGCAAAATATTCAAAAATGAAAAAGAAGCAACTCAGAAGAAACAGAAAATTTAGACACTGAAGAAAATTATAAAAAATTCAATGACAATAAATTAAATTTTTCGGTAGGTAATTAAAAATTAAAAAAATACTTAATGAAAAATTTATCAACGGTAAAATAAAAAAAAAATAAAATAAAAATCTTCAAATCAAACGTAAAGGTAGAGAAATAAAAAAACAAAAAAGCACTACTTTAGAGATTTATTACAAAAAAACTAAACAAGCTATATAAAGTTGCTTAAAGTAAATCGAGTTTTTATCAATTTTTTTATAATTCAATCGAAAACGGGGAATTACCTGACTCAAAAAGCATGACCACTCCACATAATCCACCACAACACATCCTTGACCCATCTTTCTTCCAAGATAACGCACTAACAGAATACAAATTTTTAATCTCTTTCGAGGGGGCTTCCTCCCAAATACTTCGTCGAGTATTCCAAATGTAGAGCCTTAACCGGTCAAAACTACCCACAACAACAGCCTACAACAATAGTATATTACACACCGAGGTGGAATGTGTTCCACCAAGACTTTGATTCTCGTGAAATAAGTAAAAAAAAAAACAAAAAGTTTGACTCGTCGATCGAGTCAGCCGTCATGGAAACATCATACAAACAACGTAGTCACGTGGGGAGTAAAAGAAGGAGGTAATGGAGGTAGGTAATAATCGTTAAGGTTAGAAATGTCAACATTACATATTTAATTAAAAATTCACTTACCTGTCCACTGGGACTACAAGTAGCGACAGTAAATTCATGCTCACTCTCGTCTTTACTATAGTCAAAATTTTTGACCAATTTCCCGCTATTGTTATAAACGGAGACTCTTTTCTCACATCCCGCCACAAAAATATGCCCTTGAGCCCACGCTAAAGCACACGGGGGCACCGAATAAAGAATTACTCGCCCTTGCGCCTCGTCCTCGCCAAAATCATTAGTGACATAAAACCGAATGACATTCCCATCCACGTGACCCGAAAGAAACCCAGTCCCTTTTGCATTCGAACACAACGAAACAACCAAACTATCACTCGCGAAAAGACTCTGCGACTTGTTCGACTTCGTCTGGAGCGCCCGGACTTTGCCATCGGCCAACCCGCAAATAATCGGCCCCGTGGCGAGCCAAATGACGCAAATTACAGCCGACGGCTGCGGAAATTTGTTGCAAATTGCCTTCTTTTCGCCCCATTTCTCGCCCAGTTTGTACACGTAGACAATACAATCGCTTTGAGCCACCGCTAATTTGGTTGAATCGGGACTAAACGCGATTCCCTTCACGACGTACGACTTTTTCCCGGCCTCGGGATTCCCCGGTTTCGTCGAGAAACGATCCCTGCGTTCCCCTTTGTCGTCAAAAAGCAAAATTTGTCGGTCGGACGTCGCCACCGCCAATTTCTGGTTATTGGGGGCCCAACACAATGCCATAATCTTCGCCTCAGCATCCTAAAACATTCAAAATTGACTAAACTGATAAATAAATCGAATTTACCTGAGCTTCAAGCACTGTTTGTAGATATTTTAATTGCATTTTTACTAAATTGCAAGTCTTTTTGTTGTTGTTTATTTCGTAACCATGGTAACATTTTCAGCCAATCACAAGGCTTAAATTGTGGGTAATACAGAAAACTACTTTTTATTATTATTTTTTTTATTAAGTATTAGAAAATCGATACATTTGTAATTGTAACAATAACTATCTTAAATTTATCAAACGTAAATGCCAACTGATAGTAATAGGAATAAGATTCCAAAACCGGAAAAAATTGACGCGACGAGCGACACTAGGAGCTCCTTTTTGAGGTCTCGGGACTGTTTCGTGCTCGTCACTTCGTAGACGAAGAACCACGCCGTGAAGAAAATCCCAATTCCCAAAAGAACCAAAGTTAGGGATGGAAAAACGGCGGGGTTCACCGGAGAGACGTATCGCATCATAGTGGCCGCCTCGACCTAGAAAACAATGAGAAATGACCCTAATCGTGGCTTTGTACATTACCATTGTGGAAATGGGGCCGAAATTTCACAAACAAACGTGGCGAAACGTCACAGTGACAGCTAGAGAGAGGTTAAGAAAATGACAGTAGACAGCGCGGGTGGTGTAATTTTATTTGAAAAATCACACGTGTGCTCTTAACACACACTTTGAACCACAGTTTTTAACAATTAATTGTGTTGGGCCCCAAAAAAGTATCAAGCCTCAAATTCCCATTTTTCTTGTGATAGAAGAATTAGTTGCGGTGAGTCACCCAGAGGGCGCTTTTGAATTCCAAATTTCCAAAATTAAATTATTTTTTAAATATTTTTATTGCACGGAATGTGTGACGCGTGGGGGTTGTTAATTGAGTAATTAACACTGAGGAATTTGTTTGTTCACTTATTTGTCTTAATTTTGTTGTTTGAAAGTGGCGTCTCTGTCGGTATGTTGGGTCGTGTGGTTGATGGACGTGTTGAAAAGTGCCTCGTGTGGTGTAATAATTCGGCTTAAATTACAAGATAAATGTTCACAAATGCAAATAACCCGTAGTTTGTTTAAAACCCGTGATTTGAGTTAACTTAGTTTTGGTTTCGTCCAAATCGCCAAGGTGGCTATGGACGTATTGACATTTGACACTTGTCAAATTTCTTTCAAAATTGCCAGCCCCCATGTGAGAAATGTGGTGAAAATCGCCCCTAAATAGCGGAATGCTGTCGTATCGTTGCGTTCGCCGTGTGAAAAATTGTCAATGGGATGAATGAGGGCGACTTATTGAAACGGTCAGCCGAAGAGCGTGAAAAAATCTTCAAACGTTATGAGCGGGGCCGCGAGGAGGGCGCCGAGATCGACCCCTGGGAGGACCCCGGCTTCGAGGTGTACCACGCGACGGACAGGTATGGCTTCATCCACGACAAGCGTCTGCCATCCAAAGTGGACCCGCAAGAAGCCAAAAAGTTGCAAATTGAACTAGAACGTCAGAAGAAATGGCTAAAAATGCTCAAGAACTGGGACAGCCCCAACATCAAGGAGAAGCTTCACTCGAGAGTCTACAAGGGGATCCCCAACCCGCTGCGGACGCAAGCCTGGTGCAAACTCCTCAACGTGGAGAGAGTCAAGGGCGAAAATGGGGGCAAGTACTCCGAGATGATGAAACTGGCTCGATTGCACTCCACGGACGCGCGACAAATCGACTCGGATGTTAACCGGCAATTCCGAGAGCATTTGCATTACCGGGAACGGTACAGCATCAAACAACAGTCTTTATTTAACGTCCTCACGGCTTATGCTATGTACAACTCGGAAGTGGGCTATTGCCAAGGCATGTCGGGCCTCGCCGGAGTCCTACTCATGTACATGGACGAAGAAGACGCCTTCTGGGCCATGCACATCCTCCTCACCGACCCCAAATACGCCATGCATGGCTTATACAAAGAAGGATTCCCGAAACTGACACGATTTCTTGCACATCACGACCGAATCCTCGCCAAATTTTTACCCAAACTCAAGAAACATTTTGATAAACACGGCGTCGACGCCATTCTATACTCCCTGAAATGGTTCTTCGTCTGTTTCGTCGAAAGGGTGAGTGAAAAACCATCAAAAATCAACTTTTTACATTTTTTTTGTAGGTCCCGTTTAATCTCTGTCTCAGAATTTGGGATATTCATTTACTAGACGGAGAAAGAGTTATAACAGCGATGGCCTACACAATACTCAAATTACATAAACGGAATTTGTTGAAGCTCAATGATATGGACTCGATTGTGCATTACATACAAGTGAGTCATTTTTTTAAATAACAAAATTATTTTACTAACAATTAAAATTTGTTACGTTTAGATTTATGATGCGTTAAATTTTTTCACACTGCTTTGATGCGGAATTACAGTTTACAGTTTAACAACAGCGATTATGTTGGGCAATTGCTGTAACAAAATATTGGGCGGAAGCGAAATAAATAACGTTTTGAAATGAATGAAATAGGTTGTGCTCTAAAAAGCATTGACTAATTTATTTAATCTGTCGGATAAAAAAATTGTTACCCGCCACTGGCTTGCATTTTCTGTTGTTGCTATGGCGACTTTTATTGTCGTTACTATGGTTACGGATCATTTCTATAACGACGATCGAGTCTACACACATAAGAGACTCGTTAGGGATAAGAAAAGGGGGTTTCATTAATAGTACATTAAAAAACAAGTTTTATAAAACTAGTCTTGAAGTCTGAATTGAAGTTTAAAAAACGAAAATAAGTGCTTTTATAATATTTTTTGTAATTGCTTTCTTTATGTCGTTTAAAATTTTTAATTTAATCAATTTAGTGATTGTTGTAACAATTGGTAATGTCAATTTTAAAAGTCAAAATTTGATCTAGTCGCCTTTTGACCATTATAACATTGCTTTCTTTAAAATGTTTATTAGAGAATCAAAATGGAGGCAAATTGCATTAAATTATTAAATAAGCGAAGAGTGAAAATATTGCAGATTTCAAAACAGTGATAAAATTCAGAAGGTGAAAATCAAACAAAGAAAGTTTAAAATATTAAAGGTTTAATAAAGAAAGAGAAAGACAAAAAGGAAGAATGTAATTTTAGAGAAAAGAACCAGAATCTTTATTATTAATCCGGAAAAACGAGGAAACTGTAAACTTGAAAAAGTTAAGGTTGAATAAAAAACAAAGTGTGCAACTTGTGTGTCATATTGAAGTATCTGTTAGGAACTTAACCATCTGGTTGACAGCTGACAAATTTGGAAACTGTATTACCGGCTTACGTCACTGACGGGACGTTTTATGTTTACCTGTGTTTACATTTTTTATTTCGGTGTCTTTAGGCCTTAGGGTCTACCTTCAGCTTGTGTTTACGATTTGTTTACTTGTTACTTCGTGTTTTAAGTATTTTTTGCAGCTTGAGGTTTTTTGTTCGGTAAATTTAGTGTTTATTTACTTTGTATTTAGTTGAGTTGAGTTTATACACTGAAATGTGTATAAAGATAAATACATTTTTAGTATTTTATTTAAAAAAATACAAGTTTGTATTGTAATTTATTTTTGGGTTTCGCTGTACAGAGTGCGGCATCGGTTACGCCCATTGATAATAAATAAGTGCGTAACAGTTTTGTGTGTTTTATGAACACTTTCTGATAATTTACCTATGAAGTTTTTACACTCAATGAATCTGTACCTGTTAGCGCATTAAACTTTGATATCACAATTTCAAATTTTGACTTGGTTAGCCAAATAATCGCTCTTTTTTTATTTAAACACAAACAAGACCCGTGATTTATGACAAAATGGTATAATGTGCCAACAAAAGAATCATTTACTGGTAGCCGACCGCTTTAAAGGGTCTTTTTGTTGTAAATCTTGGAATCTTACCCCAATTGCAGTTCCCTATTGTCACCTAAATTTACGATGGCACAAGTAGCAGGTCATAAATAAAAAGTATTTTCAAAGTTAAGATGGAAAATTGCGTTTAATTCAAAATCTAATTGGTGTTTTTTTTCTGATTTTGTAAACAATTATAGGAAGTGAATCTGCGTAGGTCAGTATAAAAATTAGAATTAAACTTTTTGGGAGAAAATTACTTTTTATTTTTTTTTTGGCTTTGTTTGTAAATGAAAAATTACCAAAAAATTAGTGCCCAGGTAAGTGTGAAAAAATTCAACAATTTTATTTAATTAGAAGTGGGGTTTTTTTTTTCTGGGCGTAACGGATGCCGCACCCGGTATTGTTGAAAATAATTTTAGACGATGTACTAGATTAGTTATTATCAATTGTCAATATACATTTTTTTAAATTTTTAAATTTTAATATTGAAAGGTAGATAGATTTTACCAAGGCCGAGCGAAGCGAGGCCTACAAGTGGGCCAATATACTCTTAATGACATAATCTACTATTTTCTGCAGGTGAAACTGTACAAAGACTTCATGTTCGAAGACGACGTGGTCGTGCACCAGTTGGAGAAGTCGATGGAGGAGTTGAAGAAGGCGAAACTGGACCATCCTGGGCCTGCCCATAAAGATGAACTACCGTCTCGACCATTTGGTGTTTTTAAAGAGCCGACTTTTGAGCAAATTGTTGGTATTCGAGCCGAACAATTCACTGAAAAAGAGAAAGAAACCAATCAGATTGTAACGTTGGTTAGTGAATCGGCTCGAGAAGCGGCTGAAAAGGAAAAGGAGAGTCAACTATCAGTTGGTGAATCCATAGGGCTTGCAGGTACAGACACTGATAATAATTCTATACTCGGTAGCGTTTTTACTCTAGCCAGCGAGTCGAGTCTATGTGATGATAGTAGTATTGATGAGTGCACAAGGCTTTGATTTGTTTTCATTTTTTTAAGTGCCAATTTGTACATTCCGACGCGAAATTTATCTAAAATGTGCCTTTTTACTTTATTTTTGATACGTATTGTGTATATAATTAAGTGTAAATAAGCTAAGGAGTCAAAAAATAAATTGTTTCAAACAGGATTGATACACTTTTTTGTTTTGTAGCGATTTGCTTGTACTGTGGAATGTTCTATGTTCGAAATCAATATTTGCTCGTGGATTAGTAGCAAATATTCCAACTCGTCAAGAGAAACAACTTTTGCACAATGTTGTGCCTTTTTGTGCATAAAAACTGGATACGGAATTTGTTTGCTCTTAAAATTAACGAATTATTTTAGTGATTAGAATATTTGCTCGTAATTCGCGAACACCTGTATTCATACTTGGGTTTGGTCTTGTAATTTTCCCAACTCATTTATTAACATTAAATTTTTGCATGTTTCTGTTTAGATTTTTTTCTCCGTTTCCTTTATCTCGACTCAGTAATGTAAAATAGGATAATTATTATTCTAGTTTTGCCTGAAATCAGCATTTGAACGGGACGTAACGACAGTTGGTAGGTTTTGCATGCTTTTGCACTAGTTCCAATTTTAGGGACCGGATGACTTTAGCTCGGCCTAAAATTATCCGGAGCCTAGTTCATTTTTTCCGAACCGAGAAAAAATTTTTTTAGTCACATATTAATTTTTATTTTTTCCCCCATCATAGAGAAAGAGACAAACTGCATTCAGTGACTGGTGTAAGGTGTACATATTTTTATGCTATAAAATAATATGGTAAGGCTTTTCAGACTTTTTTAATGTTACTGGCCGTTTGTATTGAATGCAATGAAAAAAATTAGTTTAGTTAAATTTGCATTCAATATCAGCAGGCGTCGATTAACCCCATCACACGACCACTAACAATTCATCACCTCTCAGCACCTCCCCCTCAACTCAACTCCGCCCATTTCCAGGTTCGAAATTCTCCTTTGATCCGAGTATTGACGACGCCAGTTCGCTCCTCGACTGCGAGCACACCGGTTCTCGTCGCTCATTGGCCGACACCAGTGTGACGTCAACCGCCGACTTGTCGGTGTTTTCCACCGTGACACGATCGCAAGCTCACGAAAACAGTCTGGATACGCATAGCAACATGTCGGATAATTCGGTGGGCGGAGCTAGTTCAGTAGGGTCGGGCATTGGTGCCTCGACCAGTGTCCAACGAGCGCTCAGTTCGCATTCCACGCCCCGAGCCACGCCCCATAATCCCAGTCCAGACGTTTTGCGCATTTATGTGCCGTATTCGCCGCTGGACACGCCCATCGCCAGTCCGCATAACGGGGATGTGCAAAAGGGCGTTCCTTGCTTGTTTTCCGACACCAATAAGATTCGAATTAAGGTGGATAATGACGAATTGCCAACGCCATTGGTCGAGCACGGACAAATCAAACATTTCAGACTCGAGGCCGACGAATTTGATTTAAAATAGAAAGGCATTTTGAGCAATAACTCATTTAAAAAATACTTTTATCGTTTTATGACACTTGTGAGGTTATGGAATTTTACAAGTTGACGTAATTGACCTTGAAAATTCTTAGCAATGTGAAACACACTTTACACGGGTAAAGTTTTAGAACCTCCTGTATATTCTTAACTGTGATTATTTTCTTATCACTTCATAACAGTTTCCATTTCTTTTATTTTTTTACGGTTTATTTATTTTTTTAAAACGTGTGCTGTGAGTGAGATTCATTAAATTTAGTACTCATTAAATTCTGATGCAGTGTGTACTATTTTTGTCACTGTTACCAACCTGAATATAATTTCAAGCAAAATTCTAAAACGGCTGCATTTGTATTATATGTAAAATAATCTAATTTTGGTAGTTTAGGTGCTCAACATAGCGTTCTAATCATCATTAAGTGTATTTGATAAAACTCTATTTTGTTAAATTAACTTTTTGTATTGTAAAGTTGGTAGTGTTAAGGGAGACGGCTACTAAAATAATAATTTATTTTTCATTAAATTAGGAGTACAATAAAGGGTTCCATCCTCTTGAACATTAATCTCGTCTTGCCTAAAAAAGAGTACCTTTTTCTGCATTTGTGCCATAAATGTTGAAATTTTTTTCAATTGGATGTCTTGAATTTCCGATAAATCATGTAAATAGGATAGAGTAACGTATTGTGTAAAAATAAAGCATTCCAATATACGCCAATACTCTTCTTCATGTAATTTAGGTGACGTTTTTTTTTCTTTGGTTTTAAAGAGTCAATTGTAATTTTTATAACAGTATTGTAAGTTTTAGTGAGTTTTTTTCAGTAGAGCACAGGAATGAAGGTAGCGAAGAGAGGAAACTACTCGAGTGATACATGCAATAAGATGTATTCTACACATTATGTAAATTATGTCATAGAATGACCTTAAATTTTCTTAATAAATTTATTTCAAAATTTGTCAACTCGTTTTTTTGCACTTTTTATTTCCTATAAAGCGGCTTGCTACTTTGAATTAAGTGGGGAACACTAAATTTCAAAGTTACAGTAAGAAGTTTTGCAAAAAAAAATTAAATATATAAAGTTAGGCAACCAATTATATACTTTTGTATGCGAGTTTGCCTGCTCATACCAATTTTGAGAATCAAAAACTGGTTTATTTGAATTAAATCGTTATCAAATGAAGTTATTTTTGCGCTTAGGCACGTTGTTTAGCATGATTTTGTTTAAAATTGCCGTAAAAATGCTTACTTGCAACTTTAATTTAATTCAAGATAATGTTTTGTCTTTTAAAACAACCAAATTAACCCAGTTATTAGCTCGAAACTTTTGCTTTTAATCAATAATGATGCATGACAACACCAGTAAACGTCAAATTAAATGTCATCATGTTCACCTTGCCGCCACTTCCCCCCAAAGACTACGTTTTGCGCGATGTGAACCAAAATCAGCGGTCTGCTCAAGAATTCACCCCAGTTGCTTTGCCTCGAATCACACAGAGCAACTTGGGCAAGTTTTGTGCCCCCATTCAGTACCAGGAGAATGAAAAGTTGGCGAATTTGAATATCGACTATTCGGTGAATCCCCAAGTGTTGGAACGGTGGACTGACAATGCGAGGGCGTTCTGGGTGGACAAACCGGGGAAAAACGACTATTTCTTGCACGACTTGTTCAAGAAGTATAGTGTGCAAGTGGTGCCCAGTTATGATGTCAGATTTAAACATAACGGTGAGTGAAAAGTGAAAAACTGGCGAATTTGAAATTGGGTTGGCAACACTGTTTTTGTTTCAGAGCGCGTTTTTTACCGTTCATTCAAATACGAGCTAGAATGTATGGAAGAGCGTCGCTTGAGAAAGCTCGACGACAAAATGGAGCGTGAAGAAAAGGAAGAAAATGAGAAAAACAAAATCATTGAAGAAAAACATATCCGTAATGCGAATGTCATGATGGGTGTGAAGACGTGCAAAGATATTAAACCGTTTTGGTGGAAAGATAAAAATGATAAAAAGGATTTGAACCAAAAGATAAATCTTCGAAGACAAGGTGAAAGTTTTAATGATGAAAGTCCGACTTTGCGTTGGCAAGAAGAACCAAGTTTGACGGAATATTTAAAAACAGATCCTTGCAAGAGGAGATTTGATATGGCGCTGTAAGCAAAGTAGACAAAGTACTGAAGTTAATTAATTTCTAATCTTGTTTTTATGCCAAAAACTTATACATATTTTCAAGCGCTTAGACACGTTTTTATGCTGAAAATAATTATAAAAACACTTTTTTTTTAATTGTTATTCACTGTAGTTTTCTAACGTTTTAAGCAAATTTTTTGTACTAAAAAATATTTTTTTTCTCTAAAAACGAACTTGTTTTTCGAAATTTTGCCAAAAATTGCCCAAATACTTTAAAGGTGATTACTTATAAAAATGACGTTATTTTTGTTATTTTGTGCATTTAAACACTGTTTTTAGTTAAAAAAAATAACTTTCTATTATGATTATTTCAAATAATAATCCAGAAAATTACTTATACAAGTTGAAAATTATATTATTTTTAGCTTTTATAATGGTTTCAGCACTTTTTTGAACGAAAAACTAACGTGTTAAAGCAAATTTTTTGTACTAAAAAATATTTTTTTCTCTACAAACTTATTTTGTTTGCAAAATTGACCGAAAAATAATACATCTAGGCATTTTAAATCACATATTGTTGCTTTTTTTTCTAGAAAAAAAATTATTCTTAAAGATCTTGCACAAAGTGTCAAAATTATCTACAGTGCGATCAAAAAGTCTTTCTATCAAGTAGGCGTCCTAGTTGAGGACGTATGTTATCTAGATGTCAAAAAATTATTTTTCAAAAATTAAAACATTAAGCTAATTAAATTGAATTATTCTATGAAACGTCTCAAAACAAACTAAAATAACATTTTGTTGGTGTTTATTCATAAAAATCGTTCACCACGGTTTCCTGTCATAATTTACCTAAAAATTATTTTGACATTTCTCATTTGTCATTGTGACATTTTATCTTCCACAGACATACGTTTTAAATTTCTACGCTTGCTTGATAGACAGACTTTTTGTTCGCACTGTATTTAGGTGGAAATTGACGTAATTTTTGTTATTTTGTGGATATAAACGCTCTTTTTAGTTAAAAAAATAACTTTTTAAAAGGATTTTTGTAAAAAAAAAACAATCTAAACATTATGTTGTTTTTAGCTCTTATAAGCGTTTATAATTATGAAGGATAAATTGTCAAAAATTAATCGAAAAATTACATATTTATTACAAATCACATTATTCTTGGTTTTTGAACCAAACTTATTGATTTTAAAAAAATTCTTGCCCAAAGAGGCTAAAAGTTACATATTTAGGTAAAAATGATGTTATTTTTGTTTTTTTGTGTAAAAAATTAACTTTTTATTATGATTTATTCAAATAATCCAGTAGATTATCTAAACAAGTCAAAAATTGATTATTTGAGTCAAAAATGAATATTTTTTATACTTTCTAACAAAAGATTTACTATTTGTAAAAAACTTTAC